TACCGAGACCGGTGACTGCTTTATTATCGTGAATAAAGTGTTCAGGCTTTTCTTGTCAGAAAACACGGCATAGGTTATATTAGTCAATTAACCTGGTAACCTGAATAGCTGTTTTTCTTTTGCTGAGAGCCTGTGCTACCACATGAACCTCAGTTCCTCTGGCATTTTTTCTCCCATGGGTAACCCACTATTCATTTTGCATTATCCATTACTCAACCTGTATGAATTTAAAGCATCACTGGTACGGAACACTGCGTTTCTGCACTTCTAGGCCTGGGTGCTGTGAGAGGAGCAACAGTAGTGGCCCCCCCATCTCCCCGCTGTTTCTCCCCTCCACCATAGGCCATCTGTTGAGTTTGTTTCTTGTCAGATTCTCTTAGTGTGTGGTTGCACCAAAACCTTCAGGAATTGTTTCAATGCTTTCATTCTGCAATTGCTTTGTAATTTTTTTTTTCAGGAGTTTTTCCACTGATTTTAGCGAGGAAATCAATGCAAAAAGGTTGTGCACGTTCTCACAGCTTGCTGTTTCCTAAATATGAAAGGCCAGCGGTGTGCTCCCATATGTGCTTTTTGATGTGCTGTTATTCTAAGCCTGTCAGACATTTTTCCCTTAAGATCCTCTTCAGACCCAAGTGGTGTAAAATAATCCCAGGTTGTCCTATCAGTTGTGTGCTCTAGAAAGCAAAGGTTGGTTTGAACGAGTACTGAGGTTCATTACTTGAAATCTCAGAAGGCCAGTCATCAGGAGTGAGGGTAGGGGGGGTCTGGGGTATCTTGACGTTAGCTGCTGCTCTTGTCTGATGACGTGCTCCACGTCTTGGCTAGAGCAACGCCCCAGTTTCTCCCTTGCAACGTAATTAAATCCTTCAATTAAAATTGTGAAACACCAAACAAATACTGGAGGTTATACACATGCCCAGGTTCAACATGCATGGGACATGCCATAGGGGAAGAGTGATGTTCTGGGTACAGGGCAGTTGTTTCTCCAATTTATTCTTAACTTGGGAGGGGAGCATGTTGTAACGTTACGTGTGCTACACACCAGGAACGGCTGTGAGGAAAAGGATGTTCCCTTGGGGATTTGCTGCTTTGGTTGCAGCTTGGACCTTTGCTTTCACGTGCTTTGGCCACGGTTATGCTGAGAGACGTCCGGGGGTGGCTTTGGAACAGCCCCAAAAGCGATGGCTGTCCCTGGCCAACTCACAGAACGAAGAGGGTAACGGCATCGCTTGTCCCACTGCTCGTGTTGTCACACGTCTCTGCCTTCGCAGCACTGCTGGGAGGTTTGTTTCTTGAAGCTAGCGTTGACTTCAGTAGGAGTCCTGTTGCCAAATTGCACATTTTCCTTGCTAAACGGACTTCCTTCAAAGAGCTAATAGCTTTTAGTTTGGAATTCTCTTGGACATCTCCATCAGGACAGCTTGTTCTTTGATTTTATAGCCATTAAACAAAGTGCTTTATGATGGCTGAAGGGGACAATTGCAGGAACGACAACCCAGCAATCTGTTTCACACTTGCTTTAGTCTGCAATCTGCTGGTGTGATTTAAATATTCGAAAACTCCTCGTGTTCCTTTGCCTGGGTGCGAGTTACACACAAGTTTCCTCACAAGTGCTTAGTACAGCTCCGTTCGTGTGAATTCATTGGGTTTTTTTGCTTTGTGACAGTATCTACAATCTGCTCCAAAATGCTGCTTTTTGCCTTTTTTATTTTTCTTTCAGAAATTAAGGAAAACTTTGCCACTTGCCTTTTATGGCAATTAAATTTTATTATTTTTTTTTAATTAGTCTGGGAGCCATGCAAGCTTATATATACCCCCAAGCTTAGTTGCTTTGCCCATCGTGCCATCCTCCCACCTTGCCTGAACCCCAAACTTATAGACACAGTCTTCCAGTTTTATGCCCCCCCTAAAAACCCCAAAACTAAAAGATGGTTTGGCAAAGGAAAGACTGTAGGTTTAGGAGTTCAAGAAAATGGTGATGTAATTAGCTGGGTCCAAATGGGTTGCACGCTGGAGGGCAGCGTCTTCCTTTCGCCCATGTGCCGTGTCTGCCTCTGCTGAGCTGGATGTGGGTTATTTGGGGTGGGAAGCGTTTTGTGCTGTTTTCTTTAGCACTTTTGGAATGTGGTAAATGATCGGTTGGGGCTTGGAGTGTCAAATTGCCCAGAATTAATGGGGAAATGTGGATGGTGATGGTGGAAACTATAGAGGGTGTTTGGTAGTGTCTCAGTCTTGCTTAAACATAGAGTATAACGAGTATTCTTGCAGCAAAGTAGTAATGCTCACTGTGTAAAGCTGCGTGCAACAGGTGGGTTCAGGCAGTTGCTGCACTTCAAGGGAAGACCGCTGGGTTTTTATGTGCTCTCCAAAGTGTCTGCTTCTTCCCTGATTAAACAGGGCACCAGGACGCGTGGCTTCTGGGAATGAGGGTTGTGGCTTCTGCATCAACTGACAGGTTGTGCAGCTTGCTGTTAGCCGTAGAGATTAGCCGCTGACACCAAAGAGAAGTGTGTCCACAGCTAGGCTAGAACTGAAATGCTGTTGCCACCCCAGGCATATAGGAGGTGTTGGGTTTTTTTTTTTTTGGCCTTGAGAAAAGGCGGCTGCATCGTAACGCTTAAAAGTGCTTAAGAATACAATAAAAAGATGTCTTGTGTCACGAAGGCTTGCAGAGGTTTACCCAGGAAAGGGTTTTCCATTCTAATAAAACATACTGCAACAAGGACATGCTTGCCATTCCGTACGTTTGCTGTGTTCAGAAATGAAATAAACAATAAAACAAGATGATTATTCCATAGCTGCCTGACAGCATTTTGCTAGTGCTTTTCCAAAAAGCAGCAAATTCTTTCTTACAGTAGGTGCGTACTGTTGGATTTTGAAATGGTTCCCACAAATCCTACAGACTCCTGTCATGCCCCAGACTGGTGATGACAAACAACTGGGTTATCACGGTTTAAAAAGTCAATAACTGCTTTATGGAGTCTTAAGCAGATGCATTTTCCCTCCAAAACGAGTCAGGTTAGGACTGTGTGTGTAGCAGTACTGGCAATAAGCTGTTACATTGTAGTAATGTGAATATTTACAGTTATCTGTCTGTACCCTTAAGCCTGTTAAAGCACCAGCTTATTTTTCCATATTCGTCTATATCCCTCTGTATTGGATAAAATCTTTCAGATACATGTTTATTTTTCATCTTTGTGTTGGAACACCACCATAATAATATTTTTCTGTTTATTAAATTAGCAACTACTCCGTGAGATGCAACAGATGGCCAGTCGCCCCTTCGCCTCCATCAACGTTGCCTTAGAAACAGATGAAGAGCCGCCAGATCTTATTGGGGGAAGTATAAAGGTGAGAGCTCAGGCTTTAAGATGGTCCTTACCACAATTAATCGTGGATGCTTGTTTTAAACCATGGTTAACACAATAATCCCAGTTTTACTATATACCTGCAAGAAACCGTAAGTCCAGGAGGGCCAAACAGATACAGTTTTCATTTGCTTTTATCCTTTCAGGTATGTATTTCTAACTTTTGGGCTGTCTTAGGTAAAAGTTATGCTGTTTGTAGGGTATGAGATCTTGTGTTTGCCTTGGGTTTTACAACTTGTAGTAGAGAAGAATGCAGCTTTCCCAGTGCAACGTGTGGCTAGACGTCACCGTAGCTGTTGCACATAGAAACCATTTCGCTGCTGTACCTCAGAGCAAACAAGAACATAGTCGTGTGTCCGTGCTGGAGTAGTGCTAACATATTTCTGATTATAAAGACATCTTGTGCTGCGAAAATAGGAGGGTGGGGAAATCACTGTCATAGATACCCGTTCTTAGACACAATGTGCTGTATTTTTAGGAAATGCATGCTTAAAAGGAGACTGATGAGTTAAAAGACCTTTTTAATGTGATGCTTTGACTAGCAGCCTTGTATACAGAAGAAAAAAAAATAAGAACCTGAGAACACTGATTATTTTTGTTTCCTGTCTAAGGTAGCTGTTTCGTTTTACTTAGACTTCAATTTTTTTAAGGCTTCCTTATTAGTCCAGGCGCAAAGTTTCTCACCTTCTATTACTGTGACAAGAGAGCAAATTCTGTTTTTCTATCCCCAAAAGCGTATATTTTATTTATTGCAAAGCAGATGAAATCAATCTGACTCAAGAACTTCTGTTTGGTGAGTAATAATATTTAAGTCTTGGCCTTAGTGTCAGGAAATGCCACAATTAAGGTTGCTTGTGTAGCCTTAGCTCTCCCATATTTATCTGTAAATTAAGTCTTTCATAGCAAATTTTACCACTTTTTTCACCTGATTGCTATCCTGCAGCATCTTCTGGGTGGATGCTGTATCGTAGAAGCTTTTCAGTATATTGTCATTTCATTATTTGTTCTGGTTTTTTACTATGTTCCATCCAAACCTTTAGTCCCAAGCTTGAACAATTTCTGGGGTTGTCCCACATCTGAGTGCTTCACAAATTAATCGCTACCTTCTTCTGAAATCAGGGATTATTGTCCCTGTTGTGCAGAGATGAACCTTGCAGTGTAGTGAAGCTAAAGTAAAATTTTCACAGGTACTCAGTAATTTGGGGTAATGGAGTGACAGGGACCTGTCTCCAGGACCTCTCCTTGGAGGCTCTGAGTGGTCCTGCTTCCCACTGACTTTCCTTTGACTCCAAACCATTCAGTTTTCCTGGGTTATTACAGTTTCTGTACCTGTGTTATGAGGATGGTAGGCACAGGAAGTCATTAGCTGCTAACAGCTCACCCAGATTCTGAAATCCATGCTTGGAAAATAGGGTTATCCCTCCACGGATCAGAATGAGCGTTTTCTTAGTCGCTTCATCGAAGAAGCCGTGGATGCGTGTGGACGTTCCCATTGGGATGGAGATGGATTTGTGAGGCTGTAGCCTGGCAGCTGGTGGCTTTGGGTTGCAGTCTGCTGACTGGGGACACTTCCCTTCCTCTCCTCCCATTTTCTGGAAATAAGGCAACTAAAAGCACCCCTTCTGTAGGCTCTGTACAGAAGAAGCTGTCCAAGACTCGGTGATCTCTGCCAAGTTTGTCTGCACTCAAACACTACAGAGAGGACTGTAAACTTTGGATCTCCCGTGTTCCCATTCGCATGTTATTTCTCCTCTAGTTCCGCTGGCAATGCTTTTCCCTTTTCATCTGGGCTTTGTGGTTTGTGTTCTCCTCCATGCCTCCCTGCTTTTTGTTTCCTGAGAAATTTCTTCTTGGATTATAAGAGTGTAGCTTCCTTGCTTCCCCGCGTCTGCCATCATCTTCCATATCTCGCTTCTCTAACCTCCTTGGGTTACTCAGGAATGGATGGAGAAGCTGGTTTTAAGCATAAGTAAGACTGGACAGATGTCCCTTTTCAGACCCCGAAGTTGTTAACCAACTGCTGATTGCCCTCTGCGCTGAGAGCTCATACAAATGTTTCTAAATCCACTTGAGGCATAAATGAGGTGAGCTGATTCAGGCAAATAGCCCAAACTCTGGACAGGAACCTGAAGCCAAGTGGGGAACACGGATGTGGACTGTTGTGCCACGGGGTAACTTCATCAGCTGGAATGTCTTGGTGCAGAACCAGGATGTTTTTCCAGGACAAGAAGAGTTGCTAAATGTCTTTTGGGGATGGGGGTGTTTATATAGTTTTTTATCATCTTGGAGAACTTGGATAGGGGATAAAAGTATGTATAGAAGTTGAGAGTGTTTCAGCAAAGTTGAAATCAAATGGAGAGGAGGCTCCCTGCATGGATGGGGAGGCTCAGGAAGCTTGTGGGTTGCGAGCAACTTGGGGAATGATGCTTCTGAGATAATCTGGCCTGTTTGATGCTGCATATAAATGAATTTAAATAGAAGTGAAAAAACAGTCTCAGTATCTTTGGGGTTAACTTTGGTTCTTCTCCTTATTCCCTTTGCACCTGCATGGGAGAAAAGCAGGAGGGAGCTGCAGGAGGATGGGCTGGGACAATACAGAAATGTAGGATTGCATTTTCCTTTGTCTTTTGTCTATTCCTTAATTGTTAGCCGAGAAAAAAGTGAAGGGAAACATTGCTGCATGGTCGGACTGCAAGCCATTCTGCAGTTGTTCTGCTTTTCGCTGTGTCAGAATTTGAGCGCCTTCGTTTTAATGCAAGAAATCCAGACTTGCGTTATCAGAAACGCATTGGTGTTTTTCTTTCCCCATGTGAATCAAAGCCTTTGGTTAATAACGAGTTTATTTGAGGGTTACAAGGGAGAAGTGGAAAATGGGACATCTTGTCTGCAAGAGATTAATTTCCTTTTCCATTGTGCATAGCCACTTGGCAGCCAGTGTCAAACTAGTTCCATGCTAAGCTAATGTTTTCCAGCTGGACAGTATTAGAACCGTGTTTTCAATTAGTATTTTTCCTGGGGTACTTAGAAGTAATAGAAAGTGATTTACCTGCAGGGAAACTATTCATATTACAGTCTGCAGCTAGGCAACACGTAACTACCTGCTTGGGTTTATTTCCCACTCAGCAAATACCCACCGGATCACAAATCTCCCACTAAATTTGCTTGGTTATTACAAAACCCATTGGCTTTTCTCTGCAGCTCTTTGTGTGTTCGGAGGTGCTGTGTATCGGCATTTTTTCTAAGAGTATTTAACACTCCTGGGTATCTGGGATTCATCCAGGTGTCTCACCTGGTATTACTGTAACGCAGGGTTTGTTAGGTCTTATATCTACTTAATCTAAGTCCGGTAGTCCTCCGCAGCCATTGTTAAAAGAAGCTTTCCTGAAAGAATTCAGAAAATTTATTTTTGACATTGGTTACCAGGTATCTTGAAGCTGTTAAAGGTGTGAAGTTAACGCTTGTAGATTCTTAAGAAAAAACACATATGCAGCACTGCAAGCAAATACTAAGCTTGAGCAAAACACCTACAGGTTCAGCAAGAGAATTGTTGCATTAGAAAAAATTATCCTTAAGTTGGAGAAAAAATTGTCTCAGAAGTTTTTAGAGGATTCAAAAACCACTCTTGTCAAATGGAGCATTCCCCTAGTAGCGCCGGTCCATAGAGCAGCCTTTGCTGTGCTGTGTCTGGGGATCCAACATGCAAAGCCTGTGCTAAGAGGTGATTATTTTTGTGTCCGTGATGGACAGGCTGTCCACATCTGTAGTCGCCTAGATGGAGTGAGAGAAGTACTTGGTGAGCAAAGTCCTCGCGAAGTTCATCTGGCATGTTCTGCACCTTCATGCATTTTGTTCTGCTGTGTTAGGCTGCTGAGGGCAAAACAGCTTCACTGCAAATCCTTCATCAGACATCAGCCGACCAAGCTGGCTGATTCCTTCAAAACAGCAGAAAAAGTGATGGAAAATAGCATCTTACTCTGGTAATTAGTTTGCTTTTTTTCGGAAGAAAGTGCTGTTGCGTGGTTTAAAGGCTGCCAGAAGGTCCCATCTGTTCAAGCAGCACAGAGACGAAGTGGTGGGCTGATGTAGGAGTGGGCAAGGGACACCACAGATTTGTATTTTCGGTCTATTTGTGTTTTGCATTTCAGTGGTTCCCCTGTTATATTCCTTTCACACTGCAGTGCAGTTGCAGCTGTCGGTAATGAGCGGAGAAGTGAGTAGTTGACAGCCCTGTGCCAGCAGGCAGTGGGTCTGGGGGAGCTGCAGGGGTGCCACGCCAGGGAGGAGGAGTTTGAAAGGAAGTGTCCTCCAGCTCTGGCACTTCTACGTGGCGATTTCATCTTAACCTAACGTAGCTCTGTGTCGGGCTGTCTCACGCGATGAGAGAAGCCACGTGAAGAACAGCTAAGGGCCAAGGAACTGATCATTTTTAGGGCTGTTATCCCTTTTTAGGGTTGTCACTCTTGGGATGCCACTGTTATCCTCCAAAGGATAGTAGTTGGAAGAAGGGGTTGAAATTGAGGGGAGAAAACATAAACAGCCCAATCTTAATCTGATGTGGCAGTTGCTGGGGATGGTTTGTGTGCAGCATTCGCGGCCAGAAAGGCTGGTTTTGTTTCGCCTGACCTGTCCAAGGCAGGCTGCCTTGTTAGCTTGCCTTTTGAAATCCAGTTTAATTTCTAATGTATTATTTCTAGGCTTCCTAGCATTTGCTGCTTCTAGGAGCTTTTCCCCGCATTAAAGCTGAGGCGTATAAAGCATGTCAGCATGTAGCTGTCTCTTTGTCTTTAGCAAAAGCACTTTCACTCATTAGACTGGGTCCATATTGCACGAGCGGATGGCAGGAGCCCTCCCATTGCATCAAGAGGACGAGGGATGCACAACGAGAAGCGACATTCCAGCTTGTCCTTTACATTTGGTGTTAATTCTGCTTACACTGGCCCGCTTTCTGGTTCATGGAAGGGCGTGTGATCCCCTTTGAAGGAG